TCAAATCAGATCCAAAGTTTTGTTCAATAGAAATTGTAAAATATAATCTTCATATTTCTTCATCTACTGTAAACTGAAAAAAAAATCACCCTTAAAAAAAACAATTATCTATAAGTCTCATGCTGGGATGATTACAAAATAATTCCTTTCCTCTGAATTACAATGACATTACACATCATTTTGTCTGTAGAAAAGAATATTAAACCTATATGCCTGGTAATTTTGCACTCATCCCCAGACATAGTGTGTTTCATAGGCTACAGATACCTGTGTAGCTTTTTTCATTACAAATACAAAATTAAAAAAAAAATTAAAGCTGATATCAGATCCCTGTGATCTCCTTAAAACCAGATACAATTTCATGAGTATATATATACATACATATTTGTTATACGTAATGTAAAATATGTGTCAAGGGCAACAACATATTTACATCATTAGCCAAGAAAAAGATCTACAATCTATACAAAAAATTGAAATTCATGAGGTTATATAAGTATATTCATATATTATCTACACCAAGCATATTATTTACATGATCAAAAAAATGGCAGATGACATCAAAACAAAACAATTAATTTTAAAAACAAGCCCTGAAATGGAGAGTGGAATTATGGTTTAATACAATATGAAAGCTTAAAATCACCTACACCATATTCGACAAGTCGTTGCTATGATGAATTTTTTTTGTTTTTCTTTGGGAGGCAACGTCGGAAGCAACGGATAAAGGGGGAGAGAAATTAGTGCCGAGGGAAGCGGGGGTTAGTACACAAAGGTGTGCCTGAAATATCACTCTATAAAGCAGTGTCTGATGGGAAAACAAAGCATTGGAGCCAACTAATACAGCAAACTTCTTATGTGCCATCTTCAGAATCTTATTAAACAAACTTAATTTCTAATACAGCAGTATTGCTGATACCATTAACTTTTTTTTTTATATCTTTCTTATATGAAATCTCTCTATTTACATGAAAAAGCCAATTGAATATTCTGTGTTTCAGTAAATCATATAAGACAAACTTCCAACTCCCTTAACTGCCAGTTTTTGTTTTGTAATTTCTAACCAGAAATACATCATAAAAATACAACTTCTGAACAAAAGACTCAAACTACCTAAAATTTTGATCATGTTAATGCTTCAACCTTTGCAACTTTCTCTGATTAAAAGCTACTCCTTTGGAAGAATGTTGCAAAAGTTTTCTATCACCCTTAACCTAAAAAAGATTTAAACTAATAAAAATTATGTTACCTGTATTCTAGCATTATAGTTAAGCATTGATACTGAACTATCTGGATATATTGTAAATCTAATAGACATATGGCTTTGTTATTCATCAAATCTTTTTTCACTTCATGCTATGCAGTTTCATTCATTCTTAACTAAAATCTCTAGAATTTTACGTGGCAAAGATCAAACTAATCACTCAATTTCCTTTCTTAAAGCATTTCCTTCTCCACTAATCTATTTGATATATAAGATATTAAAAAAATTCTCTTGTGAATATTTATCTTATTAAACATTCAAAATTACGATAAAACTGTTAGCTATATGGTGCAAAAATTCAAAACAACCTCCTTAATGATGCATGAACATTCTGATTTCATGAACAAAAACTGCTCAAGAAGGATACAAATAATGAATTTTTCTTCAAATCTTTAATTTAGCATAGATGTTTTATTTTTTAAAAAATTGAATGAATCTTTTAATATTCCCTGAATATATCAGAAATCATAGTTGGGATTGTATTGCTAACATTTGTTTTTGTTTATTTTTGAAATTAGATTATATGTATCCCTCTTGCAATATGCATACATAATCATTTGCTCTAACATTTGATAACATCCATTCACATTTCACATAATGAATAAACAATTTAATGTACAAAAAAGTAACTAAACATGTTTACCACAATACATTCACACATGTATACTAAACAACAGATTTTACAAAACATACCAGTCACCTGAAGCTATTATGTATAACTGTATAAATACCAATTTAAAAAAATAAAGAGAGCAGAATATAGGCAAAATTATAAACTGTCTTGTCAATGGGAGAAGGGAAAAATCTTAGGACGTATATACAGGAAAAGTCATGATTATTTGGGGGAAAAATGTCATGATATCTTTCCTGTAACAAAATTAGAAAACAATAACTTTTCAAAAAAAAAAACACAAAAATCTTATCTCATACAAATCATCTAATCAATATATATCTACCGGTATCAATACAATTTTTCATTCAACATAAAAACGAATGATGAAAAATCGTCACAATTTCCCGTCATGTTTGTCAAGATGAGGTCAATAAGGAGGCTGTTTTGAACACCCAAACTATGGCTGAACAAAAAAAAAATTAGAAAAAAGCTCCAAACGTGCTCGACAAAAGTTTTACATGTACACCACAAACAAAAGTTCCATTGCTCCCGATGTGATAGGCCTCCAGGATACGACATCATGCTAGCTTCTTCAGTCTAGTTGTCATGACGTAGAACCCCTTGGCCGAAAAGTCAGATGTTGGGAAGGTGGTGGTCATACTTGTGTTTCTTGTTGAACTTGGAGGCTGGTATAGGGGAGGTAGACATGTTAAAACCAGGGTTCCCTGTCAACTGTGGCAGCTGAGGATGGTACTGAAAACAACAACCAAACATATATTAAGATGCTTCACTCTATGTTTTTCTAATATGGCAAAAACAAACCTCGGATAAAAAATTTTATTTTTTATTTTTCATGGGTGGAAAGAGCTAAAGAATTCTAAATGTAAGTCACATAAGAACTCCAAAATATTTTTTTTTAAAGTATAAATCAAATAAAAACATCAAATTTCACTGATAAAATTTTATCATAGCATTCAAAAACAAAATTGATACAACAGGATTTATATCATGTGAGAAGGCAAAAGTATGCTCATTATAATGTAGATATAAAATTCGATCACTCCAGGTACAACTACTCTATTAATAACTGTAAAATTATATATTAACAATAGGAATTGCAATTGCTTGTTTCTTGATTTTCATACTATCATCAAAATTTGAATCAAAGTATAAATTCATAATTCATATAGAAATTTTTGATTAAGTTTTGATTGTTAAAACACAATGCCAAAGTCTCTTTCTTTGACCTTCAGCATTTAGATATGACCTCCATCTGCCTTCTGTCATATATTCTGACATATTTTCAATCTTTTTAACTTCAATGAACTTTTTTAAAGTTTTAACTTAGCTGTCATTCTAGCTTGTTGAACAAGTTTACCTAAACAATATACAGAAATTAAAATAAATGTACTAAACTTTCAGGATTAAAAAAGATTAAATTTATGTATTTTAAGAAACATATAATATAAATCATGTGTAAATGTAGCAAACACACGTGCTCTTTTAATGTGTACAAATTATCTCACTCTGGTTTGTTAATAAAGTGTGCGAATATAAAAACAATAGTTGTTACGATTTGAGCTACAGGCCACCTAGTGGTGTAGCCTGATACACTATACCGGGGTAATTTACAAATGTATTTTAAAACCAGAGCCTTTTAAGGATCCCCTTTTATACTAATGACAGTTTGTTTTGGATTTGAGAAAATTATTTACAAAAAAATTAAATATCAAGTTTAAAAGTTAATCAGGATATAAATATAGGTTTAAGTCTTATAATTTTTATAAAGTAGGGTAGATTTGATTAAATTTTATCCGATAAATGTTTAGAAACAATAAATTAAATAATTATATGTGACTAATTTATAAGTTTGAATATTTTATACTTTTAAACCAATGAATTGATTTATTTTTTCAAACTCCATGTATGGCATCACTGTGAATTTACTTGACCTTAATAATGACGAAATTCATCATGTTACATAAATGCTGTTATGTCAATAACTTGATCAAGGATTTTGACTTTTAAAGTGTCCGAACCTAATTAATTTTTTTTCACCTGAATTTATATCCATAACCTATGTATAAAGTAAATATGAAGCCTTTAATTAAGTACCCAAATAACCAATCTAATTAAAATTAGATCTTTGATCCGCTCCAGTTTGATCGCTAGCGATTAGATCTTTGATCCGCTCCAGTTTGATCGCTAGCAATCAAAATGGAGCGGATCAAAGATCTAATTTTAATTAGATTGCCAAATAACTATATCACATGAAATTCCTTATACAGAGAGAGAGATAGACACCATGATTACTATAAACAGGTTTCTGCGGGGTTCGATAATAAGTTGTTTTTTAACTTCAGGATAAAGCTATTTGCTTACAATATAGGTACCATATTGGAGCAACAGGGTATAAATGGTGCGACAATAGCAGAAATATACTGAAGTATTGGATGGTTATCATGTTTTATGAATTTCAAGATTTACATCATAGAACAAAAGCAAAACATTTAGGAGACATTCACCTCTTATCACCAGAATGTTCATAAGACTTTGGTTATAAATGCTGTAAATCTACTAATAATAGTTTCAAAATCAAATGTTTTTCTCAAATATTGATATAATATACAGAATTTCCCCCAATGTTGACCTAGAAAAAGTGTTCTTGGTTGGAGTGGGAGAGCATCTTTCTTAAAAGGAATAAAGCTGACTAAAAATTCAGTATTGTTGCATTTTTATAGTTTATATTAAAGTTCCTTTTATAGATGTAGAAAACCTTTAAAGCATATCTTCTAAGGTATATGTATCAGAAACTAATAGCTTTTTCTCAGTACTGTAACTTGAATAAAACATAATCATGACAAAGTATGATAAATCCATGTGAATATTAAATTTCATCAAGATTTTCATTTTAACCTTAAGCTAATGACCCTTAGGCCCAACATAGCTTTTCCAATGATACTCCATTTGTAAATCTAAACTTAACAGTGGCATCTTCATAGATATGTAAGCTGGATATGAAAATCCTACTTTCTTTTGCTGCTAAAAAATAAATTTTCCCTTTTTTCTGATGAAATGTGCCTTATGAGATGAATGCTCCTGTAATTGCAGAAACAGATAGATATATGTCCAAACTCTTGTGTTGCATGGCCTCGGCACACAGTGTTGGAATATATGTTACCACGACTACTTACTGTTGCACTCTGGGAAGGCTGCTAAGTGAATAATGCTTTATTAACTTAAGTGAGTGTATCAGGCTACATAACGTAGAACCATTGAGATTAGAATACACATTCCTGCAGCACATGTTAACTTTTTTTTTCATTAAAAACTTAACCCATATATATAGTGTTTACACTGATAAAATTAAATTCACAATTCTATAGAAACCTTAGTTTACTCTTAATTACTGTCTATTATTCCTCTCCCCCTCCCAGATCCCTCAATCTTCCTTGGAATCTACTGTAACTTACTTCATCAGTAAATATGTATGTATATCACAGTGACTGTTAATACACTAGAAGGATGACTTTCTTTAGGTGAATTAACAAACACACAAAATGGTGAGATTCTGTGTCTTAGAAGAGCTGCTGTACAACTGATGATCCAGTGACAGTTCTCACTCTCTAATATAAAGCCAGTTCTGTTATAACAAGGTCTGGATCAGCAGTTTTAGCATACATGTAGTCTAATTCTAGAGGGAAATCAAATTTAAACCATGTGATTCAGTGGTTTCTGTTTTTGTTTAATGAATAGGAAACTGGAACAAGTGCAATTTACCACAAAGGCCCGACTCCATTGTTTTTCTTCCTATAACCAAATATTCCTCCAAATGTAAATATGAAGGAGAAAGATTTACCATTAAACAAAAAGAGTACAGACCAAAATGAAGAAAAATTAGAGATGTGTAGAGGTGAATCAACCATGCTGAACATCACAAAATTTGTTTTCACCTTGGTGGTGTACTTCTCTCGACTATTCTTTATTGATAGAAGCACGTCCTTGAATCAAACATGTAATACCCATGGGTACAGGTCTGCCAATAAACTTCATGCAACTTATATCTCAGTGAATATACAATAACCTCAAAAATAGTTCAGATATAAAAAGAATATATGTAGAAAACAATGAAAAATTGTATAGTGTACAATAAACACTGTGTGTAGCCATATTCTATGCTACACACATCTGGTCCTATGTTGCCTATGTAAAACCAAATATTTAAAAAAGATCTGAAAGTCATCCTTCAAACTCAGGAATATACCAAATATTTACATCCAGTCAGTGCTCTCATTGTATTTCTAGCATTTCTGTAATTGAATTTTTTTTTTGTTTTTAAAATTGCCTAGCAAGAATGACAAAAAAAAAATTATAGGTAACAAAATAGGAACATAAATTAGAAGGGAAAAAATCCTGAATATCATATCATACAAATAATACACACATAATTAAAATCACAACTTTACACCATCCATTTAGCATATTTTTACTTTTAAACAATAAAAATGTCTACTACGTAGCTACTATCTACAGTGTAGTCCTAAATCTAGTTCTTGATCACAGGGAGACTTACATAGTGATTACTGGCACGAGAAATTGATTTATTCTTTCTCTCTGACTTTTCTTTGCGGTTCGGTGCATCATAGATTTCTTTGTTTTGGTCCATGTATGGATGCTGCAAAAGTGTGGTGCAGCTTAACCGCTGCGCCGGATCCATGGTTAGACACCCCTACAATGACCAAGGGTTTGTTTTAATTTACATATTGTGTATCTGACGTAACAAATAAGTATTTTATACAACTAATGATTGAATAAACACAATCCAAAAGTGGTTCAAACAGCATTAATATATCAAGTACATGTAGATACAAACCTGCATAAAGCTCATAGCTGTTGAAGTAATGTTAGGAAACTTTTCTTCCAGCGATTCCTAAAAATCAAATAGACTTTTCTTTAGTTTTATTTAATATATCCACAAGAAAAGATAAATATAAAATAGAGAATACTAATAAAAGAAAGGTGCAAAATATGGATGAAATACATTATGTTGATTTATTGAAATATAGAGCTGTGAGGAAATTGATGAATTCCTTGTTTACAGAATTATTAATATATATGCTGAATGCAATGCAATTTTTCACTAGATAGATAAAAGTCAAAAGCTACATGTGAAATTACCAAAATCTGACTTGTACTGTGTTTGTTTAACACTTCAAAAGCTTAATAATACCAGTTCTGCAGGATACATTTGTAATGGAGTCATAACAACAAGCTTATATTAAAATCTGTAGATCTTTTTCTACTTGACTCTCATTTGTGGTATCCTGGCACCACATTTTAAGTGCACCAGATAACCTTGATTTTACCTCCACTCAGGTGTCGGCCAGACACAACTTTGTGTCACAATCTAGAGACCTTGGTGTTTACTTTTAGGTGATAGACTTTTAAAGCACGGAATAAAATGCTCTATCAATATATCTCCACATAAATTTTTATTGCAGTCACACAGATTATTTCGTTTTGCATTTTCTTTTCAAACTGTTTTTATTAAATTGCTAGATCTATTTAAAATTTTCTTTTGGAATTTGACTCTTAAAAAATTTATAAACTGCAAAAGCAATTAAAATTTGTCAGGGGAAAAATGATGTGTAGGTATTGACTGATAAAGATTTAAATGATGCATGAAGGGAACTGAAGAATATGATAAATTTTAGTGTTGTGCAGGATGCCAGCAACATTAGATATTAATTTCATTGCACTGGCATCAAAAGGTTTGAAGTATTTTTATATATTATAGAACATAGCATTTAAATCTCGAGCAAATGAAAAATACTTCAAGATAAATTTTTCAGTTCTCGACAAAGAAATTATTGTGCAACTTGCAGGTTGTTAGGAGAAATGTAAATTGCACAGGCTGACAGACATATTATTTATACAAAGAGACAGATCAAATTTTAAAAAAAAAAAATTCAATTTAAGTGATTTTTGTGTATTACAGATTACACTGAATTTGCCAAAGAAAGTCTCTGTTTATCTCAAAGGATAATAATGCTCATTTAAAATAAGAATTCCTTTAATCGGTCTATAAATATAAATGTGATTACCATTCTGTCGGGCTCTGGAATTGTCATTCCTTTGAAGAATGTGTTGTTGGAGAAAATCTCCTCATGGCGAGGTAGCAGGTCTCCTACAAGACAAAGTGTAAACATAAGGAACATCTCTACTGTAAACAAACTAGTGAGCAAAAAATGAGCAAATACTCGTATAACTGGTTTGAGTCATTAGGTCTTTTCCCAGTTTTAGCTATAAGGCCTTGCTTACCTAGAGTTTTCTTTATAAGGTAAAGCTGGTCTACATCCGACTTCCCTGGCCATAACGCCTGACCCGTCAGTAACTCAGCAAACACACACCCTATGGCCCAGATATCTACTGGTGGACCGTAGCACGTGTCCCCCACCAATAACTCTGGGGCTCTGTACCATCTAGTGGCTACATAGTCTGTATATTCATCTCCAGGTCCAGCTACAAATTATTTTATGCATACATACAAAAATCTAACCAATCACATGCATAAAACATATTTCATATTAATTTAACTCATAAAAGTAAGCTATGTCCAAAGTTGCTATTTAAAATACATTATTCATTTTAAATAAAAAAATAATTAATTAATTAATTAAAGGTGTTATACAATATACAATTTCATTTAATCATGCATGCAACTCATCTGAATAACTTGAGCCAAAGTTGAAAAATTGAGCGGATATGCTGCTCATCAGAAAAGTTTAGGTTAAATTAAAGTCTGCATCTTTCAATTCAAGTGTTTTATCTACTTACTCAAGACCCTTGCAAACCCGAAATCACAGAGTTTGACCTGTCCCTGTCGTGTTATTAGGATATTCTCAGGTTTAACATCTCTGTGTATACACTGTAAAAAAACATGTACACTTACAACTCAATAGGACTAAGGAGGCATTATCAAAAATATATTGATGAACACTGACTCTTTTTAGAATATGAAAGTGGTTATCAAGTTAATATAATTTAGATCATAATGTTTTCTTTTTTAATATTATTCTAGCATGAATCCTCAATGAGAAATATATTATCTACCATAGCAATAAGACATGACTCTTACATTGTGTTGGTGACAGAAATTGACTGCCAGCAGAGTTTGATATATAATTCTCTTGACAAGTGGCTCTGGCACCCTGTAAAATAAAGCAGGACATTTAAAACACATATCTATTGTTCCTGTCTATTTCATAACAAAACTCTATTTGTTGTTATGTAACTTGAATGTGAAAAGGGTGTATTGTACCCAAGATTTTTTTCGTTTTCTATCCTTTCCTTTAATGCCACAAACATATTATAAATCTTTCTTGTCACAATTGACTTATTTTCAATTTATTGTGCAATAAGGTGTGGTTTGACTAATGTTTATTTTTCAGTTTCAATATTTTTCATAACATATACATGTATAATGCATGAATTAGTAATTAATAATTGATGCCTGCAACATAGATTTACTGAAAAAACCATCATATTTCCATTAATCATACAACAGCAAAAGTAATAAAATAACCAACAATGAATATACTTGTAGTAGCTGTCATTAATTCTTGAATGTACCTCACTGAGTGTGCAAAACCTAGCTAAAATCCAGGGTTTTGGGGTACTTGTTAGTGCCAGTGAGGCAAAATGTTTCAATTATAACCTGTTGCATTACACTTTGACCACCTTTTATATTGTACAGATCACATACCCCCTTGGATGCCTGTCCAGTTCATTTAGCACCGTATGATCTACATATTCAAAAACTAGATGGAGACGTTTCTTTCTTCTGAACACTTCAATTAAGTTGACCAAATTAGGATGCTTCAGTTGCTGAAAAAGAAATTAAACCATTCATTAATACAGAATATATTTTCCTTCTCAAAGAAAAAAAAAAACTTTTTATGAATTGAAAGGTCCATAGATATGTTCTTCTACATATAGAATGGCATAATTATTATAAAGGAATGGGCAGCTTTTCATTAAGATATTCAATAATGCATGTATTAAGATTAAAAGGACAGAGCATATTTGCAACAAAGCCATAAAAAATTTCTGACATTTTAATCTCACAGTGTACATGTATTGCAAAAACAATATCAATTTGCCCATGCCATGGATTCATTTTACAAGCAGTCCCCTTTTTCAGGCTATATAATGAAGCATTAAAGAATGCTTGTAAAGGTCAAAATCATACGCTGTACTTTAAAGGAAAGGACAAGATGGCAGCTAGTGTTGACTTCAGTACAAATGATTAATATTTCATACTATGTTGAAGATATTACAGAATTTAATGATAATTAGTTCATGTCCCTGGATTGATTCCACTAGTATAGATGCGTCTAGTTAACTGTACATCATATTCTGTATGTCATCCACTTAAGTAAATTAAATTGATCACCTCAATGAGTTTCTCTAATAAATGAAGTGAATATAAATCTACATACATTACAGTTGAAACAGGAAAATTCAATTACACAAATTACACAAGAAACATTATTTTTACAAACTAACCCACTGCATTCTGAGCATTGTATCTGCAGCTTTCTTAAGCAGTGGGTGTGCACTTCAAGTTTGTTTTTCTTTCCTTCTGCCTGGCCCTTCTAGCATTTTTTAACAATAATGTAAATATTCATCAATTTAATATTCATCAAGTAATTACTGTGTGGTTGCTAAAGGAAGTGTTATAGACTCCTTTTTTCCACACTGTGTTTGTGTTTGATCAATTTGAGTGTAGATACATCTTGAGTGAACACTGATACAAAAGCAAATCCTCATTCCAAAATTTCGAAAATGAAAAAAAAGTTCTCTCCCATATTTTCAAAATTGCCAAATTTAAAAATGAAACAAATCTTTGAATGAGAATTAAGGTTTAGGGTTTGATGTCCTAGCTTGGATGTTTGTTAATTTTTTTTTTTTTACAAATTGGGAAAAAAATATTGAGTTTCTTGCCCATATCTTCATGTTCTTATATATTGCAAGTTTTAGTGAGATATAACTAAATGCTGGTCTTGAAATTGTGAATCATGTACATGTATAATATATCTACATTTGTCTCTTGTGAAATAACTCCCTAAACAAAGTTAAAATAAACTCAATATACATTGTTTTCAATTACAGAACAATTGCTTTCTGACATCAATACACCTTTTTTTCCAGAAACCCTTCTATTATGATGCTATAAAATGTACAAAAATATACCTTGATAGCATCAAAAGTGTAAATAGAAGCAATTACTGAGCTATAAAACAAATATAGTTAACTTATTACACGCTTCAAATGATAATAATGGTGTATTTCTCTATGAGCAATTAGGCATGCATTTATGACCAATTCTTTCATCTTTATGTTCTACTAAAAGTTTCATAGCGAACATAAGAAATTTATTGGATATTAATGACACTTAACAAACTAGTATAAATGTTTATGGCCCTCAGTTCACTGTAACTCTAAAGTACTAAAAAAGAGAAAATGTTGAAAGAGACTGTATGAGCATGCATTTAACACAACTGACTGAGCTGATGTTTTTAAAATTTTTATGAATATTAAGTGATGACAAAAGTAACAATTGCTCGATTTCTTGTTTACACACGTTTAACAATATCCTTTAATAAAAATGTCTAAATAATTGTGTTTTACTTGTGTAGAAAGGCATCACAATAATTTTACTGGCATTGAAAGCATTAAATGGTGGAGTGGTTTACCACACAGTTTCTAGAAGACAGATTCTGTGGGTCAAGAGTTCAACCCTTGATTGGGACTGAATTCAGTATCCTTATCACGTTTTAATTATATAAAAGTCATTTTCTCTGCACTTTCTACATTTTCTATATCATTATTAATTATTTTTTCACTTATTGCAGTTATGTTAGTTTAAGAGTTGCAGTTAAAAAAAAAAAAACTTCACTACAATGGGTATAATCGGTAACAATCCTATTTATATGTATCTCAAGTCCATTCTCAATGACATGACATGTAGAATAAGGCAGCATCAGCATCTTAAAAAAGTAAATTTCTCTGCTTTCTCTCTCTCTCTCTTTCCCTTTCTCTATTTAATTTATACATAAATAACTTAAGTTATGGGAAAGCAACTCCTTTTTAATGCATGTATATATTTTAATGGTGTCTATCCATCATCAATTTATGAACTCTGCATCTAATAATCATCGTCGGAAACCCACGGTAGGTCTCGCTCCTCTTACCTCAAGAGTAAGTCACATTAGGTTACGCATATCAATGAGTTTAGCAAAATTTTCTGTCTTGTGTCCCATGGGAGGTAAGAGAAGAGAAACCGATATTGGGTTTCCGATGATGCTAATAATAAATAAAAGCATTCGATACAAGTTACTATACATCTGTTTAAAATAACAAGAATTTCATTAACAGGTGATATTTTTCCATCGTATGTTTGGCACCGATAATTGAATACAGTCTTCAATTTTTTACTTTAAAAATTATACAATAAATTGTATACTTTTAATTATTAACAAAATATCTAGAAACTTTTATCGTCCAGTTACAGTGCATGGTTAGTTTAAATCAAATGACAACCTTTAATCAATAAAGATTTTTAAAACATATGTAACAAGACAAAAACATGTATGGCTGGACTGGAATCAAACCCCGGACCCCTGTATCACTAGTCAGGTGTTCTACCTCCTGAGCTGAGCAGTTCAAGCTGATTTTCCTGGCCCTAACCATTATTTATATTAAAAATTGCAACATGAAATGAAGTGGAATTAGAATGGCAAGTTAATATTTTTTAGGTACTGACATACAAACCTTTAACATTCTGATTTCTCTCATGGCTATTTTCTTTATTAACGGATCCTCCTCGGACTCCACAAACTTCTTGATAGCAACAAGTGTCCCCGTCTCCCTGTTCCGGCACTTAAACACAACACCATACGAACCTTCACCAATTTTGCTAATTTTTTCATATTTTTCCATACTGGCAATGGATGCAGTTTATATGTGCATAAAATGTGTGATTTTTGGCTCGGAACACTATGTTTTGACTAGAGAAGTGCTAATATATGACCTATGATACAACAGCTTCAGAGAAGTTCGTGTAACACGGCACCAGACTTTGGCAAAAACAGCTGCTAATCTTCTTGAGACTAGATGTTTTACAACAATAGTAGCTACACGATAATGTCAGCTGTCATTTCAAACTGTATATCGTGTTGCTACCTGAAGCATAAACAAGAACGAACCTTTTCGTAACACACAACTTTCGTTACCAATTTTACCAGTTACAGCATTCTTTGGAAGATGCAAATGCGGAATTTTGTTAGCGAAACATAATCACTGGGCATCTACATATTTTCTGATGAGAATGTCATTCGCTTGTTTGTATTCTATAACTTTTTCTTCGGCCATTATGAATTTCTAAGTCCGTCGCCATAATGGATGTTCATGAATCCGTACTACTTTCAAAAATTCTTCCGCCTAAAATAAATAACGTTAAAAAATCCACCAAACTGAAATGAAACAATTCTACAATGTGAATATATAAAATAATAACTTGAAATATAAAAGAAATCCATTAATTGCAGCTGATAATACTTAAGATATAAAAATCAAAGAAGAACTATTTTTGCAAGGTGCGTGAAAGTAATATGCCATTGTTTTGGTTCAAAGGTTATGCCCATGACTACTGAGTCACGTGATACAAACTATACTTGCAGCAAAAAAATGTGACCATGTCTTCGTTATTGTAATGAAATATTTTTTAATTTTACCTTTTCAGACCATAGCATATTTGTGCTTTAGGATGCATTTTCTCTTAAATTTTCTGGTGTGTTTGTTTCTTTTGTTTTTGTTTTTATAGCGAATTGCATTTGTTAAAATATCTAGGCTCTTTAGTCAGTTTCTGTTAATAAATCAAAAAGTCCACAAAAAAATCAATTAAATATATTTTATTAACATGGTTGAAATAACAAGTTGTCAAACAGTCTTTCAATTCTTAAAATTAAATAAGGTATCGTAATCTCAAATTACCTCCAAACATTTAATGATCACCCCTCCCCCAGATAAAACACTGTAACATTATATTTATGCTATATATATATATATATATATATATATATATATATATATATATATATATATATATATATATATACAGTACGCTATATATATATATATATCTGTAAACTTTTCACATTTTTAGTGCTTTGTATATATATATATATATATATATATATATATATATATATATATATATATATATATATATATATATATATATATATATATATACTACCATATACATCAAAAAGAACTACCAACATTGGTACAGAGCACCCTTGGGTAAAAGGGGATTTAAATTGTTCACAGAAAGGACCAAGCCCCCTTACTACAAGGGGAGATAATTAAGATATAGGGAATCAAATTTTTTACATTAAGATATACAGAAAAATCTTTTTTAAAAACTTCTTCTCAAGAACCACTGGGCCAGAAAAGCTGAAACTTAGGTGGAAGCAACCTCGGGTAGTTTTGATTCTAGCTGCAGATCTGTAGCGTTATGGTTTTATATATTTGTCTTTGACCATAACGCTTCAGATCCCGTAATGCAAAAAAGGTGCAATTTACGGCGCAATATTTTTTGCGCACTTTTGGGGAGAATTTCTCCACTTTCTAGCATTGGTCAATCAACTATCTTTCACTCCCTTGTTCTAGACACATTCTGTAGCCAATATATATATATATATGTATATATATATATATATATATATATATATATATATATATATATATATATATATATATATATATATATATATATATATATATATATATATATATATATATATATATTATCCAACTCCCAACCATTTATATTTGTCTCAACAGGCAATAAACTTGCTTGAAGTGAATTTTCATCAATCTAACAAATAATTTTAATCAAGCGAGTTTATCAATTGTAGAGACGATTATAAAGGGTTGGGAGATAGATAAAATATACAGATTAGTTAAATAATGTGCCTAGAATTAGGGAGTGAAAGATAGTTGATTGACAAAGGCTAGAAAGTGGAGAAATTTTCCCCAAAATGCGGAAAAAATATTGCGCCGTAAATTGCACCTTTGTTGCATTACGGGATCTGTAGCGTTATGGTCAAAGACAAATATATAAAACCATAACGCTACAGATCTGCAGCTATTTTGATTCCTAATTGTTCAATTCATAACCTCCCGGGGGTATGGAGGGGTCACAATAGGGAATCAGTTTTACATTGAAATCACAGGTGCTTAGACCCCAGGTAATTCTGCAAATGACGAAAGATAAGTATATATAGGTCTACCCCTCTATACTGTAAAATCATAGTGTGAAGGTGTAAACCTATATACATGTATACTTATCGTTTGTTTACAGAATTACATGGGGAGCGCCTATGATTGAAAGGTATTTAAAAAATCCTCTCAAGAACCACTGGGCCAGGAAACTGGAAAAAAGGGAATTCAGCTGGGGTAGTGTAAAATTCTACATTGTTAAAATCATGACTCGGGGGGTAGACAGAGTGGCCACAACAGGCAATCAAAGTTTACATTGAAATATATATAGAGAAAATCTTCAGAACAGTTGATTTGGACAGATAGTATAAGTCCCTGATTTGGATAATAAAATTTTAAACTCCTGTGGAATCATCCTGGTCTATATAGTATAAGGGTGGGGCCACAAAAAGGTACCACAATAGTGAAAAGCTGGTGAAGAACGACAGGCTGATGAATTTCATAATACACTAAAATAAGTTTATAGTTAATATACGAAAAGATTATCCGAGAAATTAGTATTTTCACACACCTTATGCTATTACATTTTTTGGATACGTCATTAACAAGAGGCCCATGGGCCACATCGCTCACCTGAGCAATGTGGATAGAAAAAAAGCAGAAATCAGTTTATTGTTGAAAAGTTTAAACCCAGTAGTGGTCTAAACCAATCCTTAAAAGGGAGATGGTATGATTTGAACAAAGTTGAATCTTCACTAACTAAGGATGCTTGCATATTTCTTTGATTACCTGTGGCTATACTGCCCTTCACATTTGAACTTACATTGTGGCTCCGCCCTATACAACAATGGGTCACGACTTGAACAAAATTGACTCTACACTACCCAAGAATGCTTCCGTATGAACAGGACTAATCATGGCTTGAAAAGAATTTTAAAGATTTTTTCTACGTTTCTATGTAAAACTTGGACTCCATGTTGTGGCCCCACCCTACCCCTTGGGGTCATGATTTGAACAAAAATTGAATGTCCACTACCTGAGGATGCTTCCATAAAAATATGATCATTCATGCCTTTACTATTCTTGAGAAGAAGATTTTTTAAGAATTTTCCTACATATTTCAATGTAAAACTTTGATCAGCCATTGAAGCCTCGCCCTACCCCTAAGGGCTCATGATTTGAATACATCTGAATCTGCACTACCTGAGGATGCTTCCATAAAAATATGATCATTCATGTCTTTGCTATTTTTTGAAGAGTTCTTCTATATATATATATCTATGTAAATCTTTGATCGGCCATTTTGGCCCCACCCTACCCCCAGGGGTCATGATTTGAACAAACTTGAATCTACACTACCTGAGGATGCCTCCCTAAAAGTTTCATCTTTCCTGGCACAGTGGTTCTTGAGAAGAAGATTTTTAAAGAATTTTCCTATATATTTCTATGTAAAACTTTGATCGGCCATTGTGGCCCCGCCATACCCCCGGGGGTCATGATTTGAACAAATTTGAATCTACACTACCTGAGGATGCTTCCCTATAAGTTTCATCTTTCCTGGCACCATGGTTCTTGAGAAGAAGATTTTTAAAGAATTTTCCTATATATTTCTATGTAAAACTTTGATCGGCCATTGTGGCCCCGCCCTACCCCCAGGGGTCATGATTTGAACAAACTTGAAACTACACTACCTGGGGATGCTTCCATATAAATATGAGCAATTATGGCTTTGCTGTTCCTGGCACAGTGGTTTTTAAAGAATTTTCCTATATATTTTTTAAAACATACCATTGTCACCCCCGGTTTCATCTTTCCTGGCACAGCGGTTCTTGAGAAGAAGATTTTTAAAACATACAAGGCCGTAACTACCATTGAGGCAAGTGAGGCAAATGCCTCACTAAATTTTTAGAGTTTTCTTAAAAGTGAAAAAAGTTTTATATTGAAGTTATGAGCTGTGTGTTTCGTCGTGCTGAATTTATATTTTTAAATTTTTGTTCATCTCACCAGATACCTCATTTTCATTTAGAACGCATATAAAATATAATTCAAAATGTTTGTTTTATAATTATTGTTTGAAATAATATTTTAATTCCTAGAAAATAACTTTTCTTATTTTATGGAGGGCTGCAAGTTTTACTTGAATATGGCAGGGTCACTGAAGATGTTTGAATAGTGAGAGATTTTGCGTGCCATCAAATGACGTGATTGCGGGGAAACAGAGGGGTAACCCGCGATGCTAGGATCAATTCCTTAGCTTGCGTTAGAAATTCTCTTAGGAAATGGTATATGCGTCTTAACACCCTTGCCTCACTAAAGTTTTGAGCCTAGTTACGGCCTTGACATACCATCACATTTTCATTATTTCTTAATTATCTCCCCTTGAATAAGGCGTGGCCCTTCAATTGAACAAACTTGAATCCCCTTCACCTAAGGATACTTTGTGCCAAGTTTGGTTGAAATTGGCCCAGTGGTTCTTGAGAAGAAGATGAAAATGTGAAAAGTTTACAACGACAACGACGACTACGACGACGACAGACAACGGACATATTTTGATCAGAAAAGCTCACTTGAGCCTTTGGCTCAGGTGAGCTAAAAATGAAAACTGTTTAAAACAAACAAACAACGGATATTTAATATGAAATTAAGTTTTTCTGTGAAGTACTTGAATTTTTTTATGTTGTGTTATACATGAAGCACATGCATATAAATTCCAGTGTACAGATGTCGTGCACAAATACAAGCTCCTTGGTCTCTTGTGAACAATTTATGCACTTTTATGCTGATTTTTTCATCCAGAAATTGTAGCAGCAGTTTTTACAGCAAGTTCTGAATCGCGTGAGGTGCTGAAGGGGGGGGGGGGTTAGACGGTCCTGCCTTGGTGTGGTTACCCGCGGACGGCTAATTCTTGGTCTTGCAACGATAAATTAACGGCAGCAAGGCCCATTGATGTATTCCAAATGCAGTTGCAACTTCCTGTTGCGTAGCTCCGTTTAGTATCATCGTTAGCCTGGTTGTGTTCATCTTTGTGGCATTGCAGCATCAACACTGCAATAAAATCTTAAATATGGGTTAAATAGGAGTGTTAATAGTTTCTCTAAATCCAAAATATCAACGAAAATAGATGTCCGATTCAGAAGAAATCATGAAAAACACTACTTTAATGAAAACGTTTAATCAAGGGAGATAATTCAACACTTGG